GGTTTTTTCAACGGTTGGCTTTTCTTTTCCTTTCATGGGTACTGGGGGAGGGATTGCAACAGACACCTCCCACACAGAACATCTTCTTCCCAAATTCCGATGCCGCCGAGGTTCAGGCTACATGCATAAGGAAGTCCCAAATGCCCCGACTCGATACTGTTTTGAACATACCGGGACCAAGACCACAGCCATGACGTTGACGAATGTCGACTGCGCTTGAGCGCAATATACTCTAGCCGATTCTCCATTCAGCCCTCTAAATAGCCTCAAATGCCCAAACCCAGTCTAGGTGCCTGTGAGTTCCCTCCAGAAGGCGAAGGCGTACCACAAGACATCGCCGAGCTCATCACCCACATCTCAGATTCAGGATGGAAGGTTTGGGGTTAGGCACTAGAGATTCTGTAAAGTTTTCTGCATGTTCGGGATTGAGGGTTTTGTTTGGGCTTGAAGGACAATCCCCCTCATCTATTCTCAATGAAAGTCACGGGATGCTCAGCAGCTCCAGATTAGGCGTTGATCATATGTTGACCATAGGGCTCTTGCCAGACAACACCTGCACCAACTCGTAACGAGCAGACAAACCTTCCCTACAAGACAAACCGCTTAACATGAAAGACTAAGACTAAAGCTCAGCTTTGCTGCTGTGCTGCTGCCAGAAGCCGCTTTGCTTCGAACAGCTTCGAACACCTGGTGCCATCGCAAAATTGTCTGCTCTGCTTTTGACCAACTTGCCCTGCTTGGGCACCACCCATGCTACGGAGCTGTGTACTTTCAATCGAAGGGGCCCCGCTGCTAAACAGTGATGCCTGCATAAGGGGTGGCTGCGAAAGAGTACGCCAGAAGTGTTTCAAAGAGGACTTGGGGACAAGGACACCTGGAATCGACCAGAGATTACTATTTGCGATGATTCGGGGACATTATAGGCGATTTTGAGCGGCACTTTTGCCTCGCCAGACTCCTCCACAAGGCCGTGCACATAGTAGTCGAAACCTTACTGGCCAAGCTGAAACGCTGGTAAGAACCCCATCTGAACTTCAACCGTTTCTACGTTTGTGAGTTTTCAAGAATTCAAATCCATACAATCCTGCAAGCTTGCACCACAATATGAATCCAAGCCCGGCTGCTAAACTGCCGCAGCTGGCACGCCTTCACATGCGCTTCGAAGTCATCGACTGACCTTCACTGTTTTTCGCTGTTCTAGGAGCCTGGGCGCTTCCCATGGTTGCAAAGTTTGTTTGGGAAGGCACTCTCCTCCATGTGCATTAGAACCACTCGGAGATTTGCAAAAACCCTGGCACTGATTGGCACTGAGGAACAAAATGTGCTTCAGACTTCGTCGACCTTCCAAATCCCCCCAAAGCCTTAATCAAAAACGTTTCAAGCTTGATCTTCCAGAACATGGCAAAGCGGCAGTTGCTGCGGGGTAGCGCAGGCCCGGACCTCCTCCAAGCAGACTTAAAGATTTTCATGACTCATGGATTGGTGGACCCCTTGCCTGTTGGGGGGAGCGTTGCAGGAAGGTCCTTTTGGGTAGAAAGTAAGTGCCTTGAGTAGTTCCTAGACAGGGGTCCTATACTCCGAACCCCGTGTTTACACACTGCGTGCTGCAAACGCTCCGAAACAGGAACAACCGCACCTGGATTACAGAGTGCGGCACAGGATCCACAGGATAAGCATGTTTATAAGCCTGACATGCAAGTCCAGAAGGCTTGGCACCGCCACACGGCACCGCCATACGAATGCACATTGGTCTGCAAATGCCAGCTTTGTGTTGACGAAACCTTTCTTGACTTCTCACAGGTTCTCTCTTGTGACTTGATGCGCGGCCTTTGAAATCAAATTGAAAAACTCTTGCGCAGTTTAGAAGGTTTCTGAACCAATAGACGCAAGCGCTCAACCGTAAACTCGACACTCAACCCTCAACCCTCAACCCTTCACCCTAAACCCTGAATTCATGTGTCTTACTTATATCCCTGCCTGAAGCTCCGCTCGTGGCCGCTTGGCACACTGCACATCCATGGCAAAACGAGCTGCTTTCATGGGTTTTTCGATGGACTTAGGGGTGAGGGCTTCGGGCTTAAGTCTTAAGGCTTAGGGTTTAGGGTTGGGGAGATGGGTTGTCAAGAGTAGAATTGTATAAAAACAGCGGTCTAGAAACTGAGCTGCACTCACTTGCAAATGGCGTCATGCAGAAACATCAAATCTGGGATGCGCTGGAAACATCTGCGCAACCTGGCGCTTTTTTGAATTTCTTGATTTGGAGGGGTTGGTTTCCATCTTCTTGGGCCAATTTTTCGTTTGTTTCCATCTTTTTGGACTGAACCCAACTTCCTTGTGTCGAGTTCGATTGATTGTGTCGAGTTCGATTGGAAGGTGGGGTTTCCAGCTTTTGGACTTTCTTGGGTTGATTTCGCCTGTTTCCATGTTTCCATGTTGTTTTGGTCTGAGCCTAACCTGCTTTTATTTCGGGGGGGGGGGGTCTGACGGCTCAGAGGATCACTGCGCAGGCCAAGGCTGTGGAGAGCAGGGCGCCCAGATGAGAACGCATAGGACTCACAGGGACCGGGGTCACGAGCAAGTAGGGCTGGGTCAGGATTTGATTCTGCTGCCAGACCTTTTCGGTACTTCCAACCCCTTAGCTGGGGTCGTACGGAGGTGAAGGTCACCCTTGACGCTGTCAAGGCGGCAAAAGCATCAAGGGCTCGGTGTGGTAATGAAACACTTGCTCAGCAGCCGCAACTATGGCAATCGCACTTTGCTCGATGCCTAGTGGAAGCGATTTCGTGCCAACAGGCGTTGCGCAAGAAGCCCAGCGCCAGTCTGTAGTCTAGTAGCTACGGTCGACTTAGGTCACTGTCTCGGCTTCTTTTCATCAGCACTCACAATAAAGTGGCACCTGCAACCCGAGCATAGGGCTTGGGGTAGAGTGTACTGGACTGGTGCTGTTTACGAGCCGTAACCATAAGCCCTGGAGCCAACTCCCAAATGCAGCCCTGCAAAATGTGAGGTGTCTGCGCGTACTTGCGAAGACTAGCTCAAGCGCTGAAGGAAGAACCAGAAAGGCATGATCACACATTACACCACCGAAGACCCCAAACAGTTGAAGGAAATTACACGTGTGAAGTGAGGTTCCTTCATACTACACGCGAGCCACCGCACCTAACTTGGCTGGGGCAACAACCGACAACGCAGGAACCTAAAGGTTAGTTAGTTCCAGCCAGACATCAGAACCTTTACGGAGTTTCACGAGCCACCGCGCGCGAGCCACTGCACGCAAGCCACAGCACGCGAGCCACCGCACGCGAGCCACAACACCTTAATTGGCTGGGGCAACAATTGACAACACAGGAGCCTAAAGGTTTGCTCCAGCCAGACTTCATAACCCTAGGGAGTTTGCACGGTACTCACACAGTTTGCTCCAGCCAGACTTCATAACCCTAGGGAGTTTGCACGGTACTCACACAGGCAATAAAGCTAGAAATGGCGAACCACCGCGCGCGAGCCACCACGTGCGAGCCGCACGTGAGCCACCGCACGCGAGCCACCGCACGCGAGCCACCGCACGCGAGCCACCGCCACCGCACCTGAATCGGTCGGGGCAACAATTGACAACGCAGGAACCTAAAGGTTTGTTGCAAACCAAGAACTGGCGAACCACCGCAAGTGAGCCATCGCACGCGAGCCAACCTCACGCGAGCCACCGCAGGCGAGCCCGCACGCGAGCCACAGCACGCGAGCCACCGCACGCGACTGCCAGGGGCACTACTCTGCCTGCTGTGAGACTGCCAGCCTGCCGGCTCATGGCAGATGGGTTCAGCCCTGCGATCTGACTCACATATGCCAAGTTTTTGACGGAGGTAAGCGAGAGCACACCCACACAAAGCAGAAGCTCATAAGCAGTTTGCTTTTGTGCAAAGGAAGACAAGACGCTCAAGAACCCGGCAAAGGCCACCCACATAAAGGGAGACAAAGGGAGACAAGGGGAGAAAAAGGGAGACAAGACGCCCAGGAACCCGGCAAGGCAACCCACGGATGGGAGACAAAAAGGGAGACAAAGGAAAACAAAGGAAGACAAGACGCTCAGGAACCCGGCAAAGGCCACCCGCATGAAGGGACACAAAGGGAGACAAAGGGAGACAGAGACAAGACGCCCAGGAACCCGGCAAAGGCCACCCACATGAAGGGAGACAAAGGGGGACAAAGGGAGACGTGGTGCCCAGGAACCCGGCAATGCTCACCAGAATGCCGGCAATTCCTTAAACGAATTTAGGACCCCAACAGTAGAACTGTTTGGGGAATGATCACCATGATCACCAAGACAACGCGTACAATCCCAGAGCTCGCAAAGTGTCGCAAAAGCCGTGTTTAGCTGTGGCCGACGATCACCTCTACAATGAAGTCTGCAAACCTGCAACCTCTCACAGCAGCGCTCGAAACTTTTGCTTGAAGGGGGCGGTGAATCTCTTCCCTGCAAAACTAACTGCAACTATACCTAAACCCTAACTTCTACTCATGCATTCATGTACCACTTATGTACAACTCATGTACAACTCATGTGGACTCGTGTAAAACTCATGTACAACTCGTGTGGACTCATGTACAACTCATGTGAACTCATGTTCAACCAAAGGAACCCAACAACTGCTCACAGGATTTGTCGCCCCTTGACCTTGAGCCCTACACTCGGTTGTTCAGTGCTTCCCTTGCCTTGCCTGCTCTAACGCAAATGCAAGATCACTCGCGCTTCTTTTTCTAAGCTGCCGAATAAGGTGCGTCGCATGCAGCTTGCCCCCCCACGGTGAAACTAAGCTTCTAGAGGTCTGTGGTTGTGAAACTGCTAGGTTTGGGGTTCCTCAGGTAATTATAGTTTGTGCTAAAGGCAACGTGCAAGCTCTCTCCTAAATCGCTCGGCACCAAGCGGTGGGAAGAACGTGCGCTTCCCGCAGGCTTTTCGAGAAGGTCGAAGGTCGCGCCGGACGGCTTGAGACGAGTGTCGATTCTTAGTATGGTAGGATCGTCGTCCATCTATTAGTAGGACTGTCCGAACTCTGTAGAATGCCTGGACCCCATTCGTCGTTTGGGAACGCGACGAATTTCACATCATCTTGACCATTTCGGAATGGTTCAGTGTCGAACTCGTTTCTATCGTTGCCGTAAGTTGCCATCCCGACGCCACTGTCCTTTGCATAGAAATAGAAGCGCGTCTGGTAACGATTCTTCTGGAGCGAAAGCCAGGGAAAGCCAGACTTCACGCCCAAATGTGCATCCGTTCCAACAGCACTACGCCCATCTCCTGCGTCAATATATTCATAGATACTCAAGTGAAAGCTGCCCTCGATGTGGTTGAATGTCATGTAAAAAATAGTATGGAGACCATCCACAAGCCGATGTCGTGGACAAAGATAAAGACCTTGGTCAACATTTAACTCTTTTGCACATAGGAAATATCCAGGAACTTGCAAACTCTCCAAGCGCACCCAACCAACGGTATTCAGCACTTGTGAGAATCTGGGGTCGAGATCGACGTTCGCGTACATCATGGTGAGAAGAAGCCCGTGCCTAGACTTGTCACAGCCCTCGCGCAACACGAGCTTTGTCTGGACATCCCGACTATAACCACCTGTTTCTGGGTGGACGCACTTGCCGCTCCGGTGCTTCAGGAAAAAATAACCATCACCCGTAGGAACAGTTTCAAACTTAAGCGCTTGCCTAGACGTGTCACAGTCCTCGGATAATACCAGCTTGGTGTTGTCCGCTGGGTCGTTACTGCCGGGGTATGGCTGGACACACTTGCCACTGGCGTGCTGCAAGAGGAAGTAGCCGTCGGCACTGTAAATTCTGTTGTACAATAGGGCTGTCCTGGACATGTTGCAGCCTTTGTATAGAACAAGCCTGGTGTTGTTTGAGGCCGCGGTGCTTCCCTGGTCTGGCTGGACACATCTACCACCTATGTGCTTCAGATTGAAAGGCGTCAAAGCACCTTTTTTGTCGTCGCGCATTTTTTTGAGCGATAGGAGCTGAGAGTCTTGTGTCTCCAGACCCAACTTGCGCAACGCATGATGTAACTGGAAAGATGCCCCAGCAGCGGCTTCGATCAAATCAATGGTTTGCTGGGCTATTTTGCTGCCGCTATTGCCGCATCCATCCAGAAGGCCCAACACACCGAAAATAATCCGGTCAGACCAAACCAACGTTTGCTGCGGAATTGGATGTTCAGCAGGCTTACCTGTCGCGCGGAGCGCTGCACGGTGCGCCTCGCACGTACGAAGGTCAGAGTCTTTCATTCGGACTAAGTCGGCAATGTCGAAGTCCTGAACAATCTCTTGGTATTTCTCGAGTTGACTACTCATTTCTTGTGTGAATAGTAGGCTCTCTTCGTTATAACGAAGCTTGCCATCATAGTAAATGGAGCCCATTACAAGGATCCAATACAGTTCAAAGCGACGGGCTAGAATACTCTGGTAGGCAAGTGCTGCTGCGAAGTCACTGACACCAAGATCACCACCATTACGCGCAGCTGCCAAGAAACGTCTAATGTTTTCATGCGAAAACGTATCGTACACTTCCTGCACGTAATCCATCTTCTTTGCCTTGACATACTCAAAAAAAACATCAAAATTGTGCTCATCGAGCCCGATCCTCAAGAAATCAAGCGCTGCACGGAAAGTTGCTTGAATTGCTGTCATCCTGTTTGCTTTTAGGACGACTGCAGTGTGGATGTCCTTGACCAAACTTTCGATCGCCTCTAGGGTATGACCGAGCCTGACGACAGCAGCGTTTAGCTGATCTATCGCAGAGGCCAAAACCGCTAGCTTTTCATCAATCCTGTCCAGTTTCTCATCAATCCTGTCCAGCCTATGGTTTACAGCCTCAAACCCTTTCTGCAACGCATCCAGAAGGTCGGCGTTGCTTGGACCGGTGTCCCCGCCAAAGAGTCCCAGAATGCCTCCGACTAACGAAAAAATCCCACCTACGACAATCGATGCTGGGGGCGCTGGAACTGATAGGGCCGTTGCTCCAATTGAGGAAAGAGCGCCTGCTCCGCTTGACACACTGGGGTCTTTCGCAAACTTCACGAGGCTCACATAGTTATCCACCACTTTTCCTGTAAGTTCACCAGCCTTCTCGTCGGTTGCTGAGCTTTGTTCTTCCTGGCTCTGCGAACTGTCTGCTGCGTCAAGCTTCTTTGTAAGATCCCCGTGTAAAGCGAATTCGATCGGCAGGAGTGGGACAACTTTAGGCGCAATCTGCGGCTGTCGAGCAAAAACCATCGACATGAGAACTAGCATCACGCTGATTGATGCAAGCACGCTGATGGCGATTGAAGATCGGGCTGCACACCTTTTCATCCCGACAGGCGCAACTGGCCTGAGCCAGACCTGATCTACGCCACCTGCAACATCAGCAAGCAGAGCTGAATCCATTGCTTCGCCCGGCAGAGCTGAGTCCATGGCGCAGAGTGCGTCTGTGTGTCCCGGATGCCCTTACTTGAGGACTATGGTGACTATGGCCGACTACAGCATTTTTGACGTTGCCAGACCTCGTGGTTTGCCCCCTTCAAGCAAGCAGAAGCGTTGTGCGCTTACATCCGTCTTTTGAGATCTAAAGCAACAGGGAAGCGAGCCGAAAAGGATGACCTTGGCAGACACCACTCAGAAACTCTGACGGGAAAAACTTTCAGGTTTTGAGCAGAAGAATGCTGGTGTTTTAAACGGATGGGGAGGCAAGGATGTTCCAATTTGACTTGGAAGGGTGCTATCATGCTCAGGGAAGGGTCGCGCCAAAAAATTTGAGGCGCTGACATTTGTTTATCAAGCATGAGACACTGAACCCTGCCCTTTTTTGTAGAGCCCCCGAATTTAAAACACGGGGAAAGTATTTATTCCCTTGTAAGAGTAGGTGTAGGGTTTAGGGAAGGGTTCAAATAATAGCGAAACTAGGCTTTTGGGGGGGTTTTTTTGAGCCAAAAAAAACGCTCCAAAACGCTCCAAAATGGCTCTTTGAGTGAGAGAGGTGTGAGGAGGAGGTGTTCATTGCTGAAAAAACGCTCAACTTGGCTCCTAAAACACCTCCTGCAACCTGAGTAAGGAGAAGGTGTTCATTGCTGAAAAAACGCTCAACTTGACTCCAAAAACACCACCTTCAACCTGAGTAAGGGGAAGGTGTTCATTGCTGAAAAACGCTCAACTTGGCTCCAAAACAGCGCCTTCAACCCGAGCAAGAATTATGGGTTTCTTTTAGGCCAAAAAAACGCTTAAAAAAACGCTTCCTTCGACCGGAGCAGAATTGCAGCGCATGTATTTTTGGTGGAAAAAACGCTCAACTTGGCTCCAAAACAGCACCTTCAACCTGAGTAAGTCTGCAGGGATATATGTTTTAAAGCGGAAAAAACGCTCAACTTCGCTGCAAAACCCCTTCTTGTTTCAAAAACGGCCCATTAATGACTCAATAATGACTCAATAATGATTCAAGATGATTCAATAATGATTCAAGATGACTCAATCATGACTCAAAATGATTCAATAATTAGACAACAATGCAGGGTGGCAGTGGCAGGGCAGCAGTGGCAGGGCAGCAGTGGCAGGGCAGCAGGGCGGAGTGGCGTGGCAGCAGCAGTGCGGAGTGGGGTGGCAAGGGCAGCAGTGGCAGGGCAGCAGGGCGGAGTGGCAGGGCGGCAGTGGCAGGGCAGCAGTGGCAGGGCAGTGTGGCGGAGTGGCAGGGCAGCAGTGGCAGGGCCGTCGCAAAAGTTTGGCATCTCCCCCCCCACACACCCAAATCGAATTACACCTTAACGACTTTCTCGTTAACGTCAGGAAAACGCAGCAACAGGCAGCAGAGCGGAACAGAACAGCATCGCATGGCAGGGCAGCAGTTGGAGAGCAGCAGAAGTAACAGAGTGGGTAGGGTGGCAGGGCAGCAGTGGTAGGGCAGCAGCAGTGATAGGGCAGCAGGGCGGAGTGGCAGAGCAGCAGTGGCAGCAGCAGCAGCAGCAGCAGCAGTGGCAGAGAGCAGCACAGGTGGCAGGGCAGCTGTGGCAAGGCAGGGTCGCCACAAGGTCGCCACATTTCGCCACTGTGTCGCCACAGGGTCGCCACTATGATTCCTCGGTTCGCTCTTTTTGATTCCGGGGTTCACTCGGTTTGATTCCGGGGCTCACTCGGTTTGATTCCCAGGCTCGCCCGGTTTGAGTCATGCTAACACTTATGACCCCTTCACAGCTATGAACTCGCGCAGACCCCCTGTATCTCTGTTCTGAGACGCTGCTTGCGAATCGGCTGTCAGCGTCGATGGGATCAGAGCTGGCGCTAAAGAAAGAAAGGCATGAAAAGATGGTTGAAGCCGATAGAAAACGCGAGATCATCAGGCAGGTCTACACGAACCCTAGGACAGGTTTCGGGAACCTAGATCAAACTCTGCGGCAGGCTAGAGCTCGCGATCAAACAATCAGCCGAGGCGATGTGCGTCTGTTCCTTAACGACCTGATAGTGCGTCAAGACAGACCCGAACGAGGGCAAAACGGGTTCGTGCCTCCAGAGCCGATGTTTCAGCTGCAAGTGGACCTCGCCGATATGACCGCCTTCGCCCAAGGCCCGTATAAGTACATGCTAGTAGCGATTGACACTTTCAGCAAGAAGCTCACAGCGATCCCCTTGGCCAACAAAGATGCCGCCTCAGCATCCAGAGCGTGGGATCAAGTCGTCAAGGATCTCGGCATACCACTCACCGTCTACAGTGATGACGGTAGCGAATTTAAGCATGAATTCAAACAGAAACTTGACTACTTCTCTATCGACAAAGTGGTTTCAAGGGGTCACGCTACGGTAGTCGAACGTGCAATCAGGACCATCAAAGAAGCACTTGTTCGTAGGCTTTCGGAAGGGGTGGGCAAAAGGATCCAGAGACGGCTGACAAGGCCTTGGCCAGGATGAAACGCAACGTCAAGATGAACGCCGGAGCGAGGCCTCAAATCGCCGTGGGAGATCTCGTTAGGGTCAGGGTCAAGCCTATCGAAAGCAGGGACTCTTACAGGGTTACGGAAGTAGCGTGGAGCGAGCGGGTTTACACAGTCGCCAGAATCGAAAATACAGACGGCGGGCCCTACTTTTTCCTCGAGGACTGGGCCGGAGATCAGTTGGTTCGACGAGACCTCAGGAAGGTGGACTCAGAGGATTAGAGGCGCAGATTCTCTATGCAATCGAAAGAGCAACGTGGAAAGCAAGCTGCTCAAAGCCGCAGACTGCCCGCCTCAGGCCCTATCGCTCCACTCTGATGACAAACTCAGGCCGAGCCTCAAATCGATGCGAAAGAAGTTGGAAAACATGCTCAAGCATCAATCAAGCGCGGTTCTGGGCTTGGCCGCTCGCCATCAAAAGCAGCAACACGATTTTCACACCACCTTCCTCCTGATGATCCCCTTCCGGAGGGTTGTTTCTGCAGCACATCCAGCCCAAGCAAGCGGATGTGGAAGTTCCTCGAGCGCATTGGATTCACGCGACACAGGCATAGCTTAGATGTGAGTACGGGAAATTCACTTTACGAAACCTACTCTAAACTTTCACGCCTGGTCAAACCCCTGTACAGCGCTGAAAAGGCTTCGAGTTCTCCGACTGTTCTCTGGAAACTACTAAAACTCTTCAGGACGACCGGAACTGGTGTTGAACAACTTCTGAAGATCTGCAGGACGCTGCTGTCCGTGTCCCCGCCCAACCATCTTACACGACTCTCTTCTGGCTTTGGGTCGCTCACATCGTGCCCCGGGTCGATGCTCTTAAGGAGATCTCCATCGAAAACACGGCGGATCCTGCAGTGCGCCTTCATCATCAGCAAGCGAGACTCCTCGAGCAGCTTCCATCCTCTCTGGAAAAACAATCTCAAGACCTTCGCTCTGCCGGCCTTCTGCACATCGACGAAGGTCAAGCAAGCATGCTCCTCCACGATCTGCGGGTGGATGTCGAGCATGTCGGACCGAGATGCGGCCTTTTGGAACTTTTTTTTCAATGCGGGCGCCTCTTTACTACATCAGTAGCACAGTAGGCCGGTCTTGTGGGTCTCGCAACTAGGTGTGAAACGAGTCGCCAGAAAGAAACAGCGGAACCAAGGAGAAGAAAACAACCAAACCAACCAAGCAGCAACACAAGAACCAACCAAAAACCAAGGAGGGGCGGCGGAACTACTAATAAGACCCCACGCGCTCAGTACCCAAGCTCGTCGATGTAGTCCCTGTTCAGAGCCAATGCAGCACCAAGTCGAGTGGGGGAATCGCAAAATGCGATTGTGTGCCAGAAGTCAAAATCACCATCACGTAATCATCTGAGTAAGTTGAGTGCCTGCAGGCAGGATGTCTGCATGCTCGCAGTAGTCTTGGCAGACATTCCAAGGACGGACGGTCTATTTGAAATGCCACAGCGGTCGATGTTCGACTGTTGTCATAACCAAGACATGCGGTAAACCACCAGTGCCGACCCCTCCCACAGGGAGGGGAGGCCAGTTTGCCCCATGGTGATCAGCCAGTGGGTAGGCCACAGCCAACTGCACAGTGCAGCGTAGAGGCACTCGGTGTTCGCCGTACTGAATCTTCTTCCCGCATGGTGATCAGCCGTGGGGGTATCCAAGAGTAGCCAAAGGCTACCGCAGCGGTCGATAACCGAGACATGCGGTAAACCACCAGTGCCGACCCCTCCCACAGGGAGGGTGGGGCAAATAATGCCCCATGGTGATCAGCCAGTGGGCTTCTGCATAGGCCACAGCCAACTGCACAGTGCAGCGTAGAGGCACACGGTGTTCGCCGTACTGAATCTTCTTACCCCGTGGTGATCAGCCAGTGGGGCTATCCAAGAGTAGCCAAAGGCTACCGCAGCGGTCGATGTTCGACTATTGTCATAACCGAGACATGCGGTAAACCACCAGTACCGACCCCTCCCGCAGGGAGGGTAGGCCAGTTTGCCCCATGGTGATCAGCTAGTGGGGTCTTAAAGGGACACAGCCAACTGCACAGTGCAGCGTAGAGGCGCACGGTGTTCGCCGTACCGAATGTTCTTACCCCATGGTGATCAGCCAGTGGGGCTATCCCAGAGTAGCCAAGGGCTACCGATTCCATCACTCTTGACAGGTTCTGTTCCCCAACAAGGCATGATGCCTTAGGAGGAAGCACTGACGACACTTGGGCCACGTTTGTGTTGGCAGAGTGCCAGCGTTTTAAGGGCCGCATTATTTGCTCGTACTGAATTGCTCCCTCATCCTTATGCCTGTAAGGGCAGGACGTGACCGCTTTGAGAGCAGAGGGCTCTAGCTCTGTGGGATTTCGATGACCGTACATCTTGAACCAAAAGCTAGTAAGCTTGGTTTTGTAGGGAGCCTCGAGTAGGCAAGCCTTGCTAGCGGCCCAGTGCACCGTAGCCCAGCGCCTGGTTCCAGAGCAAGGGGCGTTGGCCGGATGTCTTCCGACGCGGAGGAGTTGCCGTGGACATTGAGGTGTTGTTCGCTGTATGCCGCCGCGGAGGGCTCCGTGGCACTTGGCATATCTAGAAGACCCTTCATTGGGAGGTCACAGTATTTGGTTTTATCTTGGCGCGCAGTTGTGCAATCACTTTTACGGTCGCCCTTTTGGCTCCAACGGGCATGGAAGACTAGAGCTGAAGGCACAGACATTGGCTAATTAGTCCCATGCCGCCGGGGTACTCGCAAGTGTTGGGATCCCAGACCACGGTGTAGATCCCTTGCTGCAGCACCATACTGGCAGTTTTTACCGGAGTGGGTGGCGGCGGCCCTCCCACTGCCAGCGGCGGTCTGCCTCCTCCCCCCATACATGGCGGGTTTGCCGGTGTCGGTGGTGGGGGTCCGGCTGGTTTTCCCGGAATCGCTCCCATAGACGCCATAGACTTTGGCAGCACCGGTGGCCCACTCGCTGTCGCCTCCGTACCGGCCTTGGCTATCGCCACGGTGCCTGAGTCATTTGCCTTGGCAACGCTTCCACTCTCTTTCGCTGAGGAGGATCTCTCTGCCACAGGGGATCGGGTTCTTGTTCGAGATCTTCTCGGTGTAGGGGTGTCCATGATCTCCTGTATGGTTCCGGCAGCATCATCATCGTCCTCATCGATCGGCTCGTGGGGCTCATTCGGGCTGCGCTCTTCCTCCTCCGCCATGGTGGGGGTTCCCCTTGTGTCCAAGGGTGGCAGGGGCCGCACAGTGCACGACAGTTGTGCTCCTTTGAACCAAAGCTTCGTAGGCGTGGAGTGATCAGTTGGTTGCAGAATTGCATGGGGATAAAACCAAGCTCGATGCCACAAGATGAGAGTTGACATGTAAATACGCAGCCGGGGTTTGGGTTTTTTCCTGGTTTGAAAAGGCAACCATTGTGTGAAAACTGTGCGTGTTCACCACGGCCGCCGTGGGTAATGTGCCAGGCGTCCCAGGTTCAGCAGATGCCACAGGCCCGCATTTGGCCCTGATGCAGCACAAACCCCGCCTGCTTCGCGCCAGGCGGCCCAAGCCCCAAGTGTGTACTGTGAAGATTGGGCTTCCCCCTTGAAGCTTTCCGCTTGGCTAAACCCGCTATGACCCAAACAGGCCTGCTGCGCAAGAGCGGAGGGAACTAGCAGGGAAGTGCAGAGCAGAAAGGTGGCATGCTTGCCGCAGCAGGTGCGACATGGCACTCGAGACTCACAACCGGTATTCCTGCCACTTGCTCACTGCCAGGGGCCATCCCAGCCGTCCTCCTGACGCCACCCTTGTTTAGAAGACCCTGCTTCTTCATGCGACAGCCGACTTGCAGACCAGTATTTGGCTCCAGTGGGGTTCGCAAAGGGGGGTCCGGCAGTTGCTGGTATCCCAGCTCCCGGCTGCTCCAATAGCTCTTCCTCCTCCGCCCCCCATGGGGGGACACCTTTGGGGATTGGCACGCCAGCTAGTTGCGCCACCTTGGCCTTGGCAGCACCCCACGCAGCATATTGGCAGCCGTGTTGATTTGCCAGGATTGGACCTCCCCATCGGCTTTGTGCCAATAGGGAAAGGACGAGACGCCTTTGAGTGCAGAGGGCTCAGGCACTGTGGGAACCCGGTGGCAATACATTTTGAACCAGGGCCGTTGAGTTGGGTGCTTTGCGCGTGCAAGGCCCTTGAGGGCGGCCCAGTGCGCCGTGGCAGCATCATACCACTCAGGACGGGCGCGGTTGGGCCCACGCATAGTCGGTGACGCAATCAGCTTGTTCCAATGGGCATCTGCCAGAGCCGGGAGCCGAAAAGGGATGCGTACATCCACTTCTCGTAAGGCCGCCAAGTTCGTCGAGTGTAGCTCCGAAATTGCACTTGCGGCTCCACCTCTTCCCCCTCAGAGCAGGCAGAGGCAAGAGCCGATGGCGAGGCTTCGTCAGCCTCCGAGGAGCTGCTGTGTACAACTTGCAGAGCCTCTTCATGTGCCGCCACGGAGGGCTCCGTGACATATGGCACTGAAAGAAGCCCTTCTAACGGGACCCTACGGAAGGAAACAACCACTCGAGACGTGACATCAGGCCACTCTAGGTTGTAAATCGGAATAAGGCGAACCCGATGCCGCCGCCGCCCAGTCCTGGACCAGCAAGAGCTAAGGCCCCGCCCCCAAGTGTGCAGAAGGCTAGAGAGGAGGAAGCGGCTGCAGGAGCTCAGTCATACACAGGGTTGGCGTTGGGTAGTCACGAGACAACGAGACCGCCAGCTCCTCCGATTCCAGGGTTAGGGGCAGCTTTCCCAGCTCCATCTGCGAGTTCTGGACCGAATATCCATGGCATGAAGGATCTTAATAAGCCGGGAGGCAGATGGCAGAAGGAACCTGGAGCAAAGCCCCCAGGGGGAGCTAGCAGGTTTGGTCCGCTTGGCGACAACGAGACGGATGATGATATGACCGGCACGGTGAATTTTGGGGACGGCGTGGCTCATACAGGAGAACAGTTGGAGAATGTCAGAGTCCAGGTGGATGGCGCTAGCGCCAATGCGGGAGTAGCATCAGGCACGATCAGACTCTACGACGATTTGAGTCCGGAAATGGATCACGAAGTGACATGGAATGAGCACAACGGAATAGGAGATGTGATCGCTGGATACTATGTCGGTTACGAGTCATGGTTGAAGTTCGCAAAGGTGAATAGCGAGGCAGAATGGCGTCAGCGATTAATAAGTGTCATCAAGGCTTTCTTAAAGGACAAGCTGCCCACCGGTACGCCGTTAGACTTGACGTGTGAACAGGTGTACGACGTGGTGAGAGGCGGGTTTGAAGACTATAGGAGGATCAGCAACGCCGAGATTGGAGTTGCGGAGAGATCAGGGACGGCAAAGGCACTTCGTACCATCCTGAATGCGAAGTCTGCATCATATAGACATGAGTCAGGACAAGAGCTTCCACAATACCTAGTAGACTTCGGCAAAAGATGGACAAGTATGATGGGAATATTTAGGTCTGACTCATACGTGGACTCAAGCGGAGTTCTGGTGCAAAGGCCCCAGCTGCGTACCCGGTCGGAGGGTGAAAAGGCTCAGCAGGAAGGCACAGGAACTGCATCTACTGGAGGTCAAACGCATGCTGACAAACAACAGCCGCCGCCCATTGACTTCGGGAAGGATAGTCCTACTGACATCGACCAGAAGTGCTCCAGAGCTTGGTTGGCCACCGAGGCTGAGAGGGCCTGCCGTATGGCACCCAGGAAATGCACGGGAGGTGCGTCTGGCTGGAACACGCAGTATTGACGCTGCCCCAGCGCATGCGATCCCTCCAAGTTGATTCTCACGAAAGCATTGATGGCGGGCGTTTGCTCCTTTCGGGCAGCTTCGAGACTAGTTCGCCGGGCGGAAGCCACCCACTCGCTCAAGCGTGACTCGTTCACTAGTCCTTGTATCACGGGCAATCCATCCGGGTCTCTCTCGTATACCGTGCGGGGGCAGGTGGGCCTTCGATATGCACGTCCCGCCAACAATGCTACGATGGCCGCCGGGGGCACGTTGACCTGGAGATCAGTAATACGTTTCTCCGTCTCAGGAAACCCCAACACAATGGGCAGACCAGCTGCGCGCCCAGGGGGCCCCTTTTGGTGAGCCTCAAATGCCAACAAAAGGGCCCCCATCCAGTAATCCGGATCGCTGTAACATAGCATCGCAGGGAACCGCGCATTACCAACGCCTGGGATATCTGCCACAGCAAAGAACAGATCAGCGATGTACTGTGCAGTGGCAAGGAAGCCGTACCCTACGATAGAGTCCATGAGGGAAACCCGATCAAGCTGTGGGGCATTGCTACCTAGCATTGCTTCCAAGTCCAGGAGAGCCCCAGAGAGCTTAAGGCAAATCGGTATGATCGGGTCATAGATTTGCAGGTAGGCTGCTGGGAAAGTTTCCGGCAGATGAAGGAGCTTGTCAGCGACTTCCAAGAGGTAGTTTGGGTCAGCTAACCTGCTTGGCAGGCTTTGTAACAGCTCCTCATAGGTACGGTAGGCACGGAGCTGCAGCTCATGCGTGGTCAAATGGTTTGAGTCGCGGAGGTTCATGTAGGGCCTGGGCTTCACGGTCCGTCCGAAGTGCTGTCCAGTTTCTAGGAATGACGCTCGCTTGCGGCGTTGGCAACGCTTGCCGTGTGCAGGCAAGCGTTCCCGAGCCTGGTTACTGCGGCACCGCTTGCCGTGTGCAGGCAAGCGTGCCCGCCTGCACTTAAATACTGCCCAATCGGGCCTGGCATTTTACAGTTCACAGGTTTTCAATGTCCAGTCCCAACCAACCCACTGCAGATTTCCACACCTGTCCTACAAGCACAGTGCCCAACCCCCTTGCCTATCTCTGCAAATCGTGATACAAGCACAGTCCCCCCAAAACCCCGCTGCTTCTCTGTGCGAAATTTCTCATACAAGCACAGTCCCCCCAAAACCCCGCTGCTTCTTTGTGCGAAAATCTTCATACAAGCACAGTCCCCCCAAAACCCCGCTGCTTCTCTGTGCGAAAATTCTCATACAAGCACAGTCCCCCCAAAACCCCGCTGCTTCTCTGTGCGCAAATTCTCATACAAGCACAGTCCCCCCAAAACCCCGCTGCTTCTCTGTGCGAAAATTCTCATACAAGCACAGTCCCCCCAAAACCCCGCTGCTTCTCTGTGCGAAAATTCTCATACAAGCACAGTCCCCCCAAAACCCCGCTGCTTCTCTGTGCGAAAATTCTCATACAAGCACAGTCCCCCCAAAACCCCGCTGCTTCTCTGTGCGAAAATTCTCATACAAGCACAGTCCCCCCAAAACCCCGCTGCTTCTCTGTGCGAAAATTCTCATCAAGCACAGTCCCCCCAAAACCCCGCACGAGTCCCCCCAAAACCCCGCTGCTTCTCTGTGCGAAAATTCTCATACCGCTGCTTCTCTGTGCGAAAATTCATGTCCCCCCAAAACCCCGCTGCTTCTCTGTGCGAAAATTCTCATACAAGCACAGTCCCCCCAAAACCCCGCTGCTTCTCTGTGCGAAAATTCTCATACAAGCACAGTCCCCCCAAAACCCCGCTGCTTCTCTGTGCGAAAATTCTCATACAAGCACAGTCCCCCCAAAACCCCGCTGCTTCTCTGTGCGAAAATTCTCATACAAGCACAGTCCCCCCAAAACCCCGCTGCTTCTCTGTGCGAAAATTCTCATACAAGCACAGTCCCCCCAAAACCCCGCTGCTGAAACCGGTCATACAAGCACAGCCTGCCATTCTGCAAAACCGATTCCCGCAGACGCAAAGCATTTTCCAGAGAGTCTGCACCAACTGCCTTGGCGACTTCCGAAGAGTTCCCAAACTTCTTGGAAGTGCCCTGCACGCGCGACCCGATTCAAACTAAAGTTGGACACAAGGCTTTTTACAAAAGCAGCGTGCTCAGACGCTGTGTCATGAGTAAAGTGCGGATGCTCGTCTAAAATTTGGCCATCGGCCAAGCAACACACCAGCACGTAACGGTAGAACAAGGATTTATGACGCTTGAAACTCCACGTGTGCACGTTCCCCAAGCTCTGTCGCATCATGAGCTCAGGGTCTTCATGCAAACATGACACAAACAAGTCCAAACGACTCTGCAACTCTTCTGGCTTTTCCAGAGCAAGTTTCATCTGGTACTTGGGAAGCACATACACTTCTGCCACAGCTTTTGTGCGTCCATCAATTTGAACA